GAAGTAATTGGCAAAATTATCTTCGATTACTGATACACTGTTTTATCTATGGATGTAGTCCTATTCATACAACAACTCAAGAAGAAGTTAAATGTCAAGAGAAGAAATACAATGTCGTCTTTATTGCCAACCATCATTTCTAGTACGCAGAATCTAGAGACCGTGCAAGGAGTGTTGTTTACCTGAACTGGTAGTTTGCGCATAATGAAAAGGAATTCTTCATATGTGAGATTATGCTTGTCTTGTTTATATTTCTTAGCTCGGAAATGAGGTGGACTAAACATATAACAAATTTAAAAGACTGTTCTTGATTTTTGAGACTATGCCTATATGAGCGCTAAGGAACGGATCTCTATTTGGGAAGAATTATGATTAGTTAAAGAAATTGGGGTTTTTAGTTCAAGAAAAAATTAAACTAGTTCTTGAACATAAACAATTCTAACAGGCAGCTAGAAGCAATAGTTTCATAGGTCTGCTAATTTGTTGAAAAGTACCTTTACTATGCTAGGATGGTAATTAAGCGACCGTTGTTTGAAATACAAAATTCCTTATAGTGAATAAAAAGTATCAGGTATTTTACATTTATCGTTTATTTTTGCATTTTAGTAAACAAATATTGATGAACATTTTTAGAAATACTTAAAAATAAAAATTCAAATATTTCTTTGTTCCTTTTTTGAAATTATTCTTTTATTTAAATTTAAAAAAAATAATGTTTTGAATCTTTAAAGTGAATGAAAGACTAAAAACTCTAACCTTTTCTTATCTCATCCATTGAATATCTCAGATTTCAAGAATTGGTTCTGTTCTATTCTAAAACTGTTTTGTTTTTCAAGAAATCATTTTGTCCTGTATATGTTTCTTGAAAAACAAATTATCAATTCTAAACTCTAACAATGGATGGATCTTCTAGCTCTGAAAATTAGAGTGGATTTTCTAAAAGCTATTTCCTAATCTAAAATTAGAGCCTTCATACAGTGGTCCCTGAAATAATGTGGAATTGACACAATGACGACTTTTGAAATAAAGATGATTATAATTCATTTGTCTGGAGAGAAACTGTTTTTGATAATTCTCTTCCACTATATTATGGCTACTCCTGTATAACTATAAAAGATTACTGCTGAATAGGTTGCGGTATTTTCTGATCTAGGATTTTTTTTATTATCTGCAGCTGTTTTGGATTTTTTAAACCAATGTTTATTTCTGAAACATTTAACTGCAAAAGAGGTAAAAACACATGAAAGGTAGTTTTTTATTGGGAGTCTTGGAACTGGAACTGGAAACTGGAAATATTTGAAAAAGTATGTTTGGATTTTGTTGAACTGGGACTTAAATATTTTCATTTTCTTTGTATGTTTGTATGTTTTAAATTTTTTTATTAAGCGAAATATATATTTTTAAAGCAGTTATCCGTTTCAGTGGCCTAACATTATACCTATGAATTTGAAAAAAATCTTGAGGGTTCTAGGACTTAAGGAACTATGTTTACTCGCATAGCACTTTCTAATCCCAATATCTTTGAAACCTGATGGTTGCTATTTCCAGCTTTAAATATTTAATCTAGCAGGATTATGGTGGGAAATAGGAAAGATATTCGGCATTAGGTTCCTTAGGTTTAGAAAATCAAAGTTTGAAGCGAGTAATCAGTTCCTTTCTATTTCTTCTCTATCTCATCTAGACTCTAAATTTGACTAATCTTACATCGGAGTTTTAGAAAATTCAACATAAGGCTCTGTTCCACACATTGCCTTAATCATTTCTTTCTTAATCTTCAGTCTTCATACTCATTTAAAAGGAAGAACAGGATATGTACTGGGTTACCCACAAAGGATGAGACTTCAGAGACGATTTTATAGAAATCGTTTAGCATGTTTTCTTGCATTCAGAGTTCCGTGTAGGCCAAAACTGGTTTAAATCTGTGCTTAATCAATTTGTAATCGATTAAAATACTCAAGTGAATTGAAAAAACAAAATCAAGCTTCAAATCGTCAAAATTTTAAATTTTTGGACGTCTTTAGTCTCATCCATTGTGGGAAACTCTGTAGTATATTATATAGTTTAAAATTTTGGATTTTTTGACACAGATTTAAAGCCGCAGTATCCCTCAATTAAGTGCGTTAGATGCTTGATTCACAATGGTACCCTTTAGAACTTCTATTAAATTAACAATGTGTAAAAATCGTAGTTTTTCAGTTTTAAGCAGTTAAGCAAATTATTTCCAATTTTCATTTCTTTCTGTGCTGTATAAATACGCAGATTACTTTTGCAGAGACCCGCAATAGAAAACAATAAAGTTTTAGATGAAAAAACAAAGATTACTCAATATTTTTCCAAGACAAAAGGGTAACGTTGTGAATCGAGCATGTAACTCTTTAAAAAAGGGGTCACTTAGAGTTTAGTCGTCAGTTCCTTTTAACAATCTTTTAACCAACCAAAACTATAATTAAACCCTTTAAAAACAATTTCTTTCTAAATTTACCTTGAACATGACTGATCCAAAAGTATGAATATTATCCTCCCGAAATTTTCTGAGAATTATTTTACAAAATTCCGGAAAATAAATCAGACCGTCCCTAAACAAGAATAAATCAGACCGTCCCTAAACAAGAATAAATTAGACTGTCCCTAAACAAGAATAAATCAGACCGTCCCTAAACAAGAATAAATCAGACCGTCCCTAAACAAGAATAAATCAGACCGTCCCTAAACAAGAATAAATCAGACCGTCTCTAAACAAGAATAAATTAGACCGTCCCTAACAAGAATAAATCAGACCGTCCCTAAACAAGAATCTTATTTTCCTCTGTTAAAATATTTGAACTACCCTTGGAATAAAAAAGGCCCCACCCGGCCTTCTCAAGTTTTTTCCCTTAACACTCTCATTTTTGAAAACTTCCTGAGATTTTTGGAAACAGAAATAGAATTTAGAAAGTCTGAAAAACATCCTACGTGCAATTATCTAAATAACTCTCTTTAGCAGTAGCACCCAAACCATTAAATTTTATTGATCTGGCTTTGAAAATAAGGGCTATAAACAATTAATTAATACCCCCCCCCCACACTATACATATATTTAGTCCCCGAGCCTTTTAGGGTAAAATTGTCTAACCTTGAAACCTCGTTGGTCATATCAATAATCTCCTGCTCCATAGGGTTCAGGCCAAGAGCAAATAAAGCAGTGTGCAAATCCTAGAATACAAAGTCAAAAAAGCAAGAAATAATTTTTAATCAAGGAAAGTAAGTATAGTTGAAATTTTCCAAGTTCAAAAGAACCCCCTTTAACAACATTTTTTATTTAAATATGCAGATATATCTTTACTATGTAGATATATCTTTACTTAAATTGTTTATCTATTGAATTGTATAAAAGCAAGGTTCTATAGGATTTTATTTAATATTTACAAATTGATAATTAATAGCTGTATACTTTTGAAAAGTATAAACTTGAAATAAATATTTTTTATTGTTAAAATGAGGGCAGGTGTTCATTTATGTAAGTGACATACTAAATAAAATTTGTATACCTTGACGTCGATGACCCCCTCTCTGAGTCCTGTCTCATACTGTCGGAACACCGACGTAACAACTTCTAGAGACAAAAAAGCATGTTTCAAAAATAATGAAAAAATGACTTTACTTTAAAATAAAATTTGAACACAATCTCTTTTGTTCTGACTAACATATTATATAAAAATTTGCAGATTTTGTTAAAACTGTATCTCAAATTGCCAAATTAGAAAAATAAACCAGATTGCCAAAGAAAAACTTTAAGACAAATAGGATGAGTCAATTGCCAAATTTAAAGAATAAACAAAACCGGCAAAAGTATCAAAATGGTTTTTAATTGTTAGTATTAGCTGATAATTAAATTGACAAGTTTAACATACTAATTATTTTTCTTTTTTCTTTTTAACATAGAAGTTGTGAACAAGTTTTGTGTCCCCTGTTAAAAATAAAGATTACTATTTTTTAGCATTTTTCCGACATAATTTTTAAACAGTCCAAAAATAGCCCAGTTGGAATAGGGTTAACAAATATGCAAGACAAGTTTTTACAGAAGACCCGTACAATGTCAATGACTGGATTTACATCGGTCAAATGTGTTTGGTTTCGTCAATATTAATTCAATAGCGTGTTTTTAATTCAACAATCTTTAAACTTACAGAACTGTCTTTTCACACTTTTTCATTTGAAACGCATTCACCGACAAAAAGTATTAAGTAGAAAAGACAAAGCATCATATTGAATTGTTTCAATTGGGATCGAAAGTGAACAAACTTATTGGGACGAGAACCGAAGGGTTAAATCAGTGATTATTATTTAAAGCTTTGTTTTCCTTGTTCATTCGTAGTAAAATCATTTCCCCACATTTTCTGAAAAAAAGTGTTTGTTTTTTTCTCACGGAATATTTGGATATATTGGTGTAGAATATATCCAGGATGTATGTGGATTGTGGATACAGGATATATTGATGTAGAATATATCCAGGATGTATGTGGATTGTGGATACAGGATATATTGGTGTAGAATATATCCAGGATGTATGTGGATTGTCTACAGGCAAACCTTAGAAAATCCAGGCTTCCACTTAACCCTTGTATCCTAATTCCTACCCCCTTCCTTTTGGGCATTTATCATCTGAGGCCAAATTTAAAGAAACATGGTTGGTTCCACTTGAAATTGTATTTAGTGTTTCGAGATTTGAGCCGGCGTTAATTAGAATAGGGTACAATAACACTGCGGATATCGAAAAAAATAATTATTAATCTGCCGAATGACAAATGATCCAGATCAAGCATTGATCTCAATATCCACAATACAAGAGTTCCATGCTGAGAAGCCAGAACTCTTGTATTGTTTATCACGGGATCAAGCCTTAATCTCCAGCTACAGATTTACAAATTTATTTATTTTATTTAATTTCTCTTTAATATTCCGTGGTGGTTATACTCTGAAGGGATACAATAAAGAGATCTGCAAGCAGCTAGCATTGAATCTCATATTTAAAAGTGTCCACAGTTGGATATCGAGATCAAGTGTTCAAGAATCAAGATTAACGACAAAACAAAAAAAAGTTCAGATTTCAGTCTGATATGTTTTACAAAACGGAGATGTCTACAAGTTTAGGTTTATGAAATTATGTCAATTGTTAACTCGGACAAAAGAAAAGAAAGAGAAAATCATTAAAAGTAAGAAAATGTTAATTACCTGAAAAAACTAGGCCTAACACTTATAGCTCTTGGAACCCTTTATGTTAATGAAGAGTTGAAGTGAGATTATTATTGCAAAATATTAATATACTGATAACCAACCCATATGGTGAAATGACCTTACACATTTCAAATTAAGTAATCAATCAGTGTCAATATTAATATCAATATGTTCTTGGGAAAATATTGATTTATGATGTAATTAAATACTATACAGAATAAGATAAGAGAGTAATAAGGGTCTGTAGACGTAATTCTTAGTGACCCTCTGTCCAGAATAGAGTGGGTTGTCCGATTCAGAACGGTACCCTTGAAACTTTTGTCAGGTCAATGAATGAGCTATTTTTTGTGTCAGAAAATCGATTATTTTTTATTTAAGGTTATATTACAAAGTTTCCAGCAAGAAAAACGTATCAACTCCGGTTCATTTCAAGTACAGCGCCGACTTTAAACCAGCTGTAGCAAGCTGTACAGTACAAATACATTTCAAGTACAACGACGATTTTAAACCAGCTGTAGCAAGCTGTACAGTAGAAATACATTTCAAATACAGGGCCTACTTTAAACTAGCTGTACAGTATAGTTCAGTGCATGATTAATTTCATGTACATTGTGCATTGCCTCTGCATCAATCTGCAATTCACTTTTTAAGAGGAAACCACAATTGAAAAATATCAATTTTCCGCTAGAAAAATAGAATTTCGCATTTACTTTCGTCGCATGAAGATTAAAGGGCGCCCCGGTGGTATAGTTTACAGTCCCATTAACCCTTACATTCGGAATTGGCAACTTCTCGAACTTGTGATATCTCAGAGTTTAATTTTGTTCCCTTTTCCTAAACCTCCCCCCCCCCCGTGGATTTAACGGTTCTGTCAATATTCTAGAAAGCTGTGACTTTCGATCACAATTTGACCCATTAAACATAATTTTTTTAGCCTTTTTTCCAAAATACTTTTCTGTCGGCATATGCACTTTGGATGAAAAAGTATAGAATAAACAAATCCGTAAGTTAAAATATTGTTGAATTTAAGACAAAAACACGTTTGATTTCAAATAGAATAAACCGAATGGTTAGTTCGTTGTGGGTGCCCCCCCCCCTATCCTATTCAAGATCCGGCTTCTAACTCAATATGTCTGATTCTGACCAGTTAATGGGATCGCAAAATGTGCGCAAGCTTTGCAAATTTGCAAACTGCTGCGTGCAAGGTTGCGATTTCTCGTTTATATCTGGGTAATTAGTTTTGAAAGTCGGGGAACCACTTAATCAGGTTGGAAGGCTGCAGTGGTATTCGGTAATTAGAGATTAGTGCACATTAACACACTTTTACTCTACAGACACACATTCACAAACACCCCACATGATATCAAACACCTCACACACATGCATGCACCCCAATGCAACAAGCACATTTTTTTAGAGGACTAATTGCAATTAGATAAAATTTGAAATATGAATTCAATGTAACCCACAAAGAATAAGACGTCAGTGACGACTGTACGGAATAAACACTGTCCGTTTCCTTTCATTCATTATTCCATGCAGAGCAAACTTCTTCCTTTCTTTCTTTGCCAAATTAGTAAACAATCCGTTAGACGACAATATTTAAGGAATAAGACTTAATTTTACTTTAAAATCGTCATGTTTTAAGTTTGTATCCAATAAACCGAACATAAACCAAGAGATGATTTTAAGTCAGAAGAAAAAATATCACAGAAAAGGTTGGGTTTAAGAAAATACATCGGAATTCTAAATAAAATTCAAAGTTTTGGCCAATATAACAGCTCGGTTAATGTACGGGCAAAGAGAGATTTAGCTAAACTTATTCCGTCTGTTTACATTAANACATTTCTCCAATTCTTTGTAAAGTATCAAGGGAAATTTGACAAAATCTGATCAGTTTAGTTCCAGATAGAGAGCTGATCAGAGAATACCAGGGGGGGAATAGCAAGAGGGGGGGAGGGGAACAAAATATTTACAACATTATTATTTTGGTTCTTAATGCTATAAAGGTTTAGATACAATTATTTTCTATATAAAGCTAAATAGAAATTTAAGCACACAAATTTTATAAGTATAACATACAATAGTTTCAATTTTATTTTTATTTCAATGGAAATGATATTTTAGACATTTAAATTTTTGTTTAAGAAAATCTCAGATTATCTCAGATAATCATCAGATTAATAGTACCAAGTTGCTTGCCTGTTAACTGTTATTTTAATAAGAAATCAATTAACAAGTAAGATCTGCAATTATAATTTTATTATTCATTTTTCTAATCATCATTATTTCGAGATAAAATATATGCATCATGTTTTAATTTTTTTCTCGTGATTTTCTCAGAGGTCGGATTTATTGAAAATACAGAAGTAGACGTGAACTTGATTCAAGCATCACTACCTAGTTCAACTAGTTCTTACGTTTTACTTTCATAAATTATTATTATTATTATAATTATTATTCTTCTTGTTATTATTATTATTATTATTATTTTTAATATTATCATTATAAAAATTAATTAGGAGACATTAGTTGCCACTACTGGGAAACATACTCATGCTCTTTTAGGCAGTGTTCAGGTATAATTTATTATCATTATAAATATTATTATTATCATTCTTATTATCATTATCATTATTATTATCATTAATATTATTGTTCTCATTAATAAAACAATACTATTTTCAAAATTATCATGAAGACAAATAAAAAGCATGAATTGATGGCGCTATCTGACGATAAGGCGTTTATACTTCTTGGTATACCACGATGGAGTAAGGTGCAAATACATTTTTTCTTTTCAATTTTAATTTGAAACAAATGTTAGCTTGTTCATTTTTTCTTATATCATTATTATAATCTAGTTTCCACAAATCCCCCCCCCCAGCCTAACCCCTTCTATTACATTTTTTCCCTGCAAATAAAAGTAAATTGAACATAAGATTGAAATTGTACATGATTTTAATTCCTCTTACTGTTTAGAGTTATTGAGAAGAAAAAAATGTTTTCAATTTGTAATATGTAACAGGAATCTTACACTTGCGCATTAAACTAAAACCAGAAGAGAGCTACAGGGTTTCCACCAAATATGACAGTAGCAAGACGAAATAAAGGTCGTCTTTGATCGTAAACCTAATTTTAGAAGTTAAATTCAATATTTACTAATTGTAAAATATCCCTAGTCTTGGCATTTCCAAAATGTGGTCTGCCTTCGTTATCCTTTCGCATAAATATTAACCTTCTTCCTCTAGTTTACGGTGTTTCACTTGTAGGAGGAGCTGACTGTTGAACAGATTGCTCAGCAGGTGGAAAAGAAACTGAACTCTGAGGAGGGAAGTAATGAACAGGTTTTAAAAAACGTGTTTTTTTTGTGAGTAATTTTGGAATAAATGATGTTAAAATTAAACTTGCTTAAAGGGACTATTATCGGAATATTGATAGAAAGCCTTGAAGTATCGGGCATATTTCTCTTTAAAACATTGAAATATTCAACTGCCCAATTCCTTCCGTTATCTGGAAAATATAAGGAAAAAACTGTATTTTGTTCTATTCTATTCTATTTTATCTTAAAATAAACCAATTTCAATTTCCTGCCTTGTTTCTGCTGCTTTAATCCGCAACAATGATATAAAAACCGGGATACACCAATCTTCTTCTGTTCTTGCAAAGGATTAAGGAGTAATCAGGCATTTTAAATTACGTAAAGAAATCCCTTTAATAATATATCTTCGAAAGCTGAATTTATTAAAGTTCTTGTATCTGTCAATTATTTTCAACCATTTGCCAGAAATTTAATAATATTATTTGTTGTATGCATCCATCTTGCTTTAGATAAGATTGGCACAGAGACACCTGTTGACAAAACTGCGAATTAATGAACTGGTTGAGAACAACTCCTGGCGCCCTGGGGTTGCCAAGTTTACCCTGCCATCAGATAATGTCACGAAGTGGAGAACATCTGGGGGCAAAATAACAAGCGAAATTGTTCAAAATAAAGCATCAAATATGCTACAAAAACTTCTCGGCAAAAAATAGTCAAAAATTCAGAGCTTTTTTACTTCAAACTGTGCATATTGTAAATAATAAAAGGAAAATAATGCATTTTTCAAGTGAAAGGGTGTTTTAAATATCAAACGTGGTTTAAAATGTTTTTAAAAACTATTGTGATTAGATCTCATATATTCAATTGTATTCTATATTGTATTCTATATATTTCAAGTTGTAGATATCATTAGTGACAGATGAAAATTAAAATTTAGACAAAATGCACGTTTAGTAAGTTAAATGCGGTCTCAAACATTCAAAACGTCATGATTTCAATTTTCCGATGATTCTATAATTTTAGACATATTAACATGATGATTGATGAAACAATTCAGACTATAAGTCACAAAAACAATGTTTGTTTTGGTGCATAATGAACATGTTAACGATAATCATATTTGTTAAGAGACAGGATTTTTTTGTAATAGAGTAACTCTGTGGGCGTTGAACTCATTGGATATATAAGAGGAATAAAATTAATCCCTGGATCTGCATAGAATAAAGATCAATGCTTGATCCTGAAATTATAAAATAAATTTGTTGAACTGAAGTTGTTTTTCTCAAACATTTTAAAAATATTGGATTTTGTTCCCTCAGCGGGAAATTCACGAAACATTGAGAAATCTTTTAGAAAGGGTCCACATAAAAAAAAAAATTCGACCCAAATACAGTTCACAAATATAAATATATAAATATATAAATATATAAATATATAATTAAAACTGCTCGTATGTTACATCAAGGAAATGTATGGTCCTAAAGTCAGAACTTTTGTATTGTTAATCTGGGGATCAAGCATTGATTTATCTAATTTATTTAATTCCGTGTCGATATCTTGTGGTGACCATACTATGAAGGGATCAAGCATTTATTGTAATATTTAAAAATGCCCACATCGGATATCGAGATAAATCATTCAATTTTAATAATACTCCGCACAAAAGTCATTAGCTCTGGCGAAAATTACTAATGATCTGGATTAAATTAAATAAATTGATAATCAATGTTATTAACCCTATTCCTGCTGGGGGCGGGGGTCAATTTGACCCCCCCCTGTAGTTTATTTTACATAACTCAAAAAGTATTGGTCTGAGGCTGTTGAAATTTTCTGACTTTTCTTACATACCCAAAGCCCTCCCTTTAGGCCTAAAACCGGGCTTTAATACTAACTGCCTGAGTCCTGAGGCACACTGCCTGATTGACTGCTTTTGCCTGTAACAAACTAAATCTTTGTTTTGACCCACTTTCACTTGTCAGATTTTGAAAAATTTAGCTTTTTGGAAAGCCTATGACATAAGGAAAAAGATTGCACAAGTTTTGCGAAAAAAAAATTGCAAATTTTTTGCAAACAACCTGTCAAAGGAAGTTTGCACATTTTTAGTTTTTCTTGATTAAAAATCAGGTTATTTAAAATTTTGCAAAATTTTTTGCATATTTGAAATGGCATGGTCAAGGGCTTTTCAAAAATGTATAATTTTTCATTTTTTGGACAATTATTTTTTGCAAACATTTTTACTATATAACTGGATTTTGCGATAAAAAATTCAATTTTTGCAAATTTGCAAATTTTTTTGCAGATTCTAAAAGTAGAGCACAAGAGCTTTCTGATGATGTATCATTTGTCATATTTGGACATAAAACATGGGATTTAGAGGGGGGGGGGGTCAAATTGACCCCCCCCCAGCATATCCTGGTTTTCAAGTACCCCAGGAGGGATAGGGTTAAGTATTATTATAAAAGATTCTATCTGCAGTAACAGATATTTTCTGTTCACTAGAAAATTTTCCTGTTGCAAACTTTCCAATTATGCAATTTTCGGTCAGATTCTTGGAAAAAATGCTAGTTCATTTCATTCAAATGTTTTTTAAAAAGTTTTTTTTTTCTTTCTTTATCATTAATTTGATAGTTAATCTACAAGAAATAATTATTAACAATTTGTAATAATTTGTAATAATTAAAATAGTTTTAAGCAGGTGTGCGCTTACATTCTTATTCGGTACTCAGGCAGAAACCTTACACAAAGGTATACAGGGTGCTCAAAAATACAAAGAAATGTTTTAATTTTCATTTGCAGTGGTCGTCAGAATGGTTTAGATCGAGAAGACGACCTGGAATTAGCATTCACAATGTTTGCTTTCTTTTATGCATAAGGGTTGCGCGCAATATAGTTATTTATGCGTATTGACGAGGAGTTATCATTATTAAAGGGACTGTCAGCGTAATTTCAAGTGACCATCCATGTAAAGATGCAGCAGTGACAGATTTACAACGGTTCCCTTTAAACCTTTTTCGAGATCAATATTGTGGACGAATATTGTCGTTTTTGTAGGTTTATATGTTAATATTTTTCTAGGATTATATGTTAATATTTTTCTAGGTTTTTTGCTGTAATTTTTATATGTTTTCCTGCGCAGAAGAAAGTCACTTTTGTTTAAAACCCACAATTAAAGATATTAAAGATATTAAAGATATTAAAGATATTAAAGATATTAAAGATATTACAGATAACCAGTTTACAAAATTATAAAAATTGATATTCGAATTCATACTCATACCAGGCAATGTTTTTAAATCAGGAATTGCCATCTTTGCATGGAGGATTACTTAAAATTATGCATACAATCCCTTTAGGCAATTCTCACAGAATATTTGAACCTCTGGTTTAAACTATCTTTGATTCAACTCGGTGCCTTTAAAAGTTTTCTTTTATAGAGTTGAAACTTTTTTATCTGAATACCCTGTTGAAGGCAAAAACAAGATTATTTATTGTTTTTTAATAATTATGGAGCAAAAAAGAGGGAAGTGGAATCAAGGCGTGAAACGTTTTCTTTGCTTGGATTTATAAAACATTTACAGTAAATAAATTCTCTTAGGGCCCACCCTTGCTCTAAGGTTATTGCTGTGGAGAAACAGGGATTTATGGTTTGAGATTAACAAACATTTTACCCAAAAGATGTTTTTCTTGACGAACTTCTAGTGAATTACCCTTTTACATTTCGTTAATCTGCAGATTATTTTCTTTATTTGATATCTGCAGTACAGTAATTGTACGGCAGGGGATGAGGGATCTTAAATTAGGGAGGACAGGAATAACTGCAATGAAGTTATGGAAGGGCATAGTTTTTTTCAGAAATCCTCAAATCAAAAGTGTCCGCAGAGAATATCGGGATCATGAGTATCCAACACAAAGTTTCCAGCTCAGAAACCTTAAATTAGTTAGAGGAATAAACTAAGTTTAATTAGAACTCTTGAAGATAATTCGAAGAAGAAATTTAATTCGAAGAAACACTCAGACAAAATTTCAAGAAACTGTCTCTTAAAGGGGCTGTAAGCGTAATTTTAAGTGACCCATGGAATTACAGTGCGCATATAGCACTTTTGTGAGTGGTGGGCGAAATTAGATTGAAAAGAATGATTTTAGTTGTGTAATGATAAATGTATTAGAAAATTTTGATCTTTTTGACCCTATATAATGATGATGATAGTTTGATAAATTATTATTGGGGCGGAGTCTAAAACAGAAAATATACCTATATACACAGTGGGACCCGACCATACAACTGTGGAATATGAAGACGACTTTCAAACTCAAGTTATTATTCTAAATAGTCTCATCAACATAAAACAAATATAAACAATTTTACAGTGTACACTGTACAGTGACTGAAAATTAACCAATTTCACTTAATTCAAGTTTATTTTCAATCTCCTGGTAAACGTATTGGCTTCTTTTATCAACATTAAATAAGTTATTATGTTAAATATACAAGTAAATTATTAAACATGTGTACACACTGCATTATTGTTGAGTTTTATGTTTGTTGGAATATTAAAAATAATATCCTATGTCTTTGCAGTAGTCTATCGTCTTCCTAATACAAAGTATATACATGTGTAACACAGTGTTTAATGTATGTGTATAAAGCGTTTAAATAACATGGGTTGGTTTTCATTTGATACCAGACCTGTCCACCCATAGCTATAATAAATGGTGCTTTATCTCTGTAAATCAAATATATACAATAAGATATAAAAACAAAATGTCCTCTACGGTTTTCTACTTTTCCCCACAAGCAGCACATTCACTGTGATTTAAAGGTCTCACGTTCTCAAGTAAAAATTGATGAGAATTTTGCCAATTACTTATTAGAAACTAAAACTAAAAACAAGTGCTTTAAAGTGCTAACCAAAGTAACAAAAGTGAGGAATTTCCCCAGATTCTCCGTGGTGACTTTCTTAAAGAAATTTCGAAGGAATTTCTCGAGAATCATTTCCTGTAACTGATTCCTCGGAAATTCTCGAGAAATTCCCTAGAATTGGTCCCCAAGATGAGAGATTTTTGTGGGATCACAGTTTTGAGACTCAGTTTCGAGAAATTCCTGAGAAATTCTCCGGAATTTTTCCCCACGAAATTCCTCAGAATTTCTCCAGAAATATTCTCTGGAAATTCCTGAGAAATTCTTAGGACTTTGTCACCATGTTTACGGATTTTTAGGGGAATTTATTAAGAGAATTAGTTTCGAGAAATTCCTGGGAATTTCTCCGGAATTTCACCCCAAGAAATTCCTGAGAAATTCTCCTGACTACTTCTCCGGAAATTCCTGAGAAATTCTTAGGAGTTGGTCACCATATTTAGGGATTTAAAGTGCGAACATGTATACATGTAAAGGGCTACAGAAAACCATAAGTGAGTTAAAACGGTAAAATCTAAGCGACACTTCAAAGTCGACCCTGTCTTAAAAATTGATGGGACTGTTTATAAGTAGGCTGAATCTATGTGTATTACACATATAAAACTGATAGATATAATGCATAATGCAGATCTTACTGTAAAGGACTGTGAATATGATTTCATGCATCCTTCCATTAAGAGTGACATGTTTAATTCACAAATGTAAGAATGCAAGATTAAGAATTAAGGTAATATCCATTTTTTTTACTTTGAGAATTGATTTTATTCAATTGCAATTTTTTTACAAAAGTGACTTGCGGAGCTCTGATACAGAAACAATGGAGGAAGTTGTCAGAAGTAAGCACTTTTCAAACTAAAAACACACTTCAAACTACACTGATGATGGAAAAGGTCAAATGTATGCGATATTACTGGTAAAACTTTGTCACCTCGTAGCTCCTCTGCAGTTTCGATTTTACTCGCAATTATGAGAAAACCAGATTGTTCCAATTATAATTAGAAATTAATAAAAACAGCTTTGTTTTTCTTAATAGCTCTTCAACGAGGGGAGTAATGATTTCAATTATACCTTCAGTTTACTTTAGTTAACTAGAGGTCTCGGTTAAAAATCTAGAGAGTCTTAACTTTAGACCCCATTTTCACATGTTAAATGTAGATATTTAGTATTTGAAATTTAATACTTTTTTGTTGGACTAAATATTTTGAATATTTAAGTGTGTAAGGTTGTTTATGATATTGTTGACAGATTTTGAATGAGGATCAAAATATGGCTATAAATATTCCAATACAGACAAGATGCACTTCTTTGTAGTTAGTTTTATGTGGACTAAGCTTTAATTTCCCTGGATTCTCTTTGTCTAAAATAAAGGTATAAAAAATGTATTAAAAACACATTTTTGTTGATGTACAATGTTGTAGCGTTCCTAAATTCAACCAT